TCGGGGCAAGTGGACAGCGACGTGAGTATTTACGGCGCCGAGCGGCCTTTGTCTTAGAGTCGGTTCGGGCGAAGCTGCCTGTTCCGGTTGCAACCAAGTTTGGTGACAATTGAAGACTATCTATTTATGTTATGAAAGTTACGATATTCTGCTAATTTTTTTTGATATATTTGATTGAAGGGTAGGAAACAAAAATCCAATCTTGAGCCATGGTTGGTTATGAATCAGTTTTCAATAAAGCATTCCGCTAAAGCTGAAATGCAGAAGAATACGGGGCAGAAGAAAACGGAAATCGCTATGCCTTAACATGGTGACTTCCGTTTTCATCTTCTCTGCATTCTTCTGCATTTCAGCTTTACCAGAATGCTTTATTCTCTTTCCAATGGTGTATTCAGTTTTGTTTTTATTGCAAAGATTCCTAGAGTTTTACCTATACCCCTCTCAAGTACGCAGTTTTTGCCTCAAAAATTATAGATAAAGAGTATAAAAGATTATGGATTATAGACGTGATTATAAGTGATTACCCTTGTAGCACCAAACATTAAGACAACGTTCTGAGAATGTTCTTTTGGTTCTCTGAAGGTTCCGTAAACGTTCTAAAAACATTAAGTGCTACAAGGGTAAAAGATCATGTACTTTTTATTATACGAATTGTAGACCCCTCGTGTCAAATACTACTTTCTGACCGAATAGTGTAGTTTTCTCGTAGTGCTTTCTGCTTTGTTGTGTTGCCACACCACGCTCCGCCTCTCTGGGCAAGTTGTCCATTATGCCCAAGGTTTTGCTTGGTTTGCTTGCACAATCCCTACCTAGATGTCTGTCCTTGCAGAGAATGGAGCCTTTGCATGACGACGTCTTGCTGATGGTCTTGGAGTATGTCGATGTAAAGGACCTCCTCGCCTGCCGCCTCGTCTGCAAGAGGCTAGCAGAGCTCGCCCTGCACCCCCAACCGTGGCGGCATCGACTGCTCCGCGTACATAGCATATTAGTGGGCGACGCTGAAGCCCGTTTGACGTGCCCGGCCCTGCGATTGGCCCCCTGTGCGCGCAGGCTGGTCCTCCAGCTCCCATCGAAGAAGTGTCAGTTGCCGTACACATCGACCAGATGTGCCGTTTCCCATTTGATGCTGGAGTTGAACAACATCACTGTCTGCAAGCAGGCCGCTTTCGTTATCCGTAACCAATTGGCACTTGGCCGGCTAAGAGAACTTAACATTTGGTATCCACCTGGACGGTTGATTATGATTGAGGAAAATGCTTCAACTGAATCGCCTCAGATTAAATTTGGACTGTCCCTTCTGATTCATACGCTGGCCGAAGCGTCCGGACTGAAGAAGCTTGCAGTTGGCAGTTTCCCGGACAGGATGTTCGATGTACACAGCACCGTGCCCATAACATCATCCCTGAAACACTTCCGCTGTGAACTTCGGCCAAAGTGGCAGCCCTTTGTCGACTTCGTTTTGGCCGGGCACTCCGCCACCCTAGAAGTGGTCAACCTGAATGGCTGTTGGGAGAACTCGGTATCGAAGTCTACCTCCACGGCGCGCCTCCTGGCCGCGATGGCGAACCTTCGCGAGCTCAGCTGCCCCGCCGTGCTCGACGGGATTGAGCTCGTGGCAAAGTGCAGTTCCCTGAGAAAGGTGACCCTTCACATCAGATCCAACAAGCCGTCTGACCTGGTCGCGGGGGCCCGCAAGTTCCTCCGCCGCGCCACCCAGTTGCGCGAGGTGTCGCTGGAATACCATCCCGGGGCCACCAGCCGCGATGATCCCGCCGTAGGCCTGATCCGCGACCTGGCCTGGTCAGGACGCTCCCGCGTGGAGTCGCTGGCCATCGAAAACGGTTGGAGGAGTAGGAAGGAGAGGAAGGACACGGATGACAACTTCCCGCAGGAGCAGTCGCTCCTGAGAGCACTCCCCGCGCTGCCCGCACTGGAGCACTTGCACCTGCAGTCTCAGGCGCCGCCCCAGCTGCTGCTGGCCCTCGGCCCCGACACGACCCCGGCCTTGCGGACCCTCGAGCTGGGTGTGTATGCCATGGGGTTCGACGTGCAGCACCACTGCCTCCATTCCTGGTTGCACGACAATATCATAGCCGACGACCTTCTCAAGGTGCACCCCTCGATCAAGCTCATTCCTCCACCCTTTGAATACTACTGCTCTGTTCCAAAAGATTGTACTTGGTGTAAATCAGGTTGCCACCAAGAGCTCTCGGGGAATGACAGGCCGCTTTTCCGAGATGCTTTGTTGAAAGTCTGCTCCTAACTATGCCATGTGTTTTTTTTGTATTACCTCATTTAAAATGTATTTTCTTTAAATAAATGTTCTGCTCAGTTTGTATCCCGGGAGTATGTTCTGAACAATGTGGTTGTAAGGGGCTGTTACCGCGTTCTCCGAAGTCGTGCAAGGGGCGTATTCCCCCATTTTTTTTCATTTTTTTTTCGGGGCAAGTGGACAGCGACGTGAGTATTTACGTCGCCGAGCGGCCTTTGTCTTAGAGTCGGTTCGGGCGAAGCTGCCTGTTCCGGTTGCCGTGTCGGTTATGGCTGCAAACCAAGACGTGCGCCATGCCATGCCGCCAGAACAAGCACTTCTATAGTTCTCACGCCAGGCTGTCTGTAACGCACGCGATAGCGCCTGCCATGCGTTGGGTAGGCCAGCCCGCCGAGCAGCTGCGTGGGGCGGGCGGCCCACGCTGAGCGCCGCACCGTGCAGGCGGGTCGGGAAGCCGTCGGGGCAGGCCGGCCGCGACGACGGCATAGGTCATGGGGTTATCGGGCAAAGCGGAATCGGAATTTTTAGTGCGAAACGCGCTAGTGACGTCTAATTGCGGCACCTTATTGGGGAACATGTCGTCCTCCAGGCGATCGGTTGGGTTTGCGGTCGGTAAAACACTGCGTGCCAGTTGGGTTGCCTACCAGTAGGCGCCATGGATAGGTTATTATTGGCAACAGGTACTTACAAAAACAAAAACACACGGCTCGAAAAAAGACAGAACAACGTAAACTTTCGATGAACGCATTGCTGTCAGCTAGAAAAGAGCGCGCCAACTTGGCAGCGCGAACGACCGTCTCCTGTCTTTGGCCGCACCGCGCCCCCCTGCGAGGGGACGGCGGCCTGATTCAAAAATAATTAGAAGGGCTGGAGCTGGGGGACCGGTCGTGCCGTCCGGCCGCAGGACAGCCGCGGGGCCGCCGCGGGGCCTGCAGGTGTGCCAACACAAAGGCGACCTGAATGGCGGCGTGACGCTGCGCCTTTGAATGGTGTGGTACGTTGGTAGCACTGATTCGAACGGAGCGGGCAGTCAGCGCCCCGCCCCCGCCCAGCCCCGCAGCGGCAGGCCAATCCCGTAGTCATGAGTATGGCATAGCGAGCGCCGGGCTGTCGTCGTCGGCCAGCTCCACCGCTGCTGGGGGGTGGGCCCCGCCGGGCCTGCTGCAAAATAAGTCAGCGCTACGCTGGAGGCCGCCCCCCCCCCCTCACCTTTTCTTCCTCTCCCTTCTATCTTTCTCTCCTTTCCCAGACAGTACTTTTCTGCGAGTCCCCCGGTGACGTCTCGCCCGGCCGCGCGGGGAGGGCACTGCCCGCGGCGCCTAGGAGGAATATAAAGATCGGATTTGAAAAGGTACGTACATCAAAAGCCAAATCCATCGCTGAAAATCAACAAAGCTCTCGCTGAAATTCGTCGAAATTCACTGGACTTCATAGAAAAGTTCGTCGAAATAATTCTTTTATCACAGCTCATCGTGGTAAGTTGTTTCCTCTAGCGGTGCGCACGCCCGGTAGCGGTCCCGGGCAGCGCCTATGCTTAATTGGGGCTGACGAGCAATGCACACGGAGTATGAGAAATGACGCGGCAGTGTCGGGGCGCGGCAGCGCGGCACTCCTCGGGCACCCCCTCCTCGTTACAGGCCAGGCCCGCGGGCCACCGCCACCGCCGCCAGCTACTCTACCTTTCACTCTCCCTCCCTCCCTCCCTCTCTCTCCCTCTCTCTGTGCTCCGCACGAAGAGAGCCGCACAGCCCCGCGTCGTCCAGAATGATGTTTTCATTGATGCTTTCGTTAGTGTTGTCTGTCGGCCCCTCTGATGCCTCCGGCGTGTTGATTGAGACGGGGCTATGGAGTGGCGGGGCGGGGCGTGGTGCCCTGTAACAGAGGTGTGTGTGTGTGTGTGTGTGTGTGTGTGTGTGTGTGTGTGTGTGTGTGTGTGTGTGTGTGTGTGTGTGTGTGTGTTATGTCGTTCGTTTACCCTCACCTAGATGCATCGTGGTCGGAAGCGATGTGCGCTGGGCGCAACACAACGAAAGGACCCCGCCCGCTCTTAAACTACCCGCCCGTGAAAAAGGAAACGTTTTCTTCTCCGAGGAGGGAGACTTGCAGTATGTACTTGGTCGTCGGACCGAACCCGTAAACGACGACGATAGCCGGACCGCAATTTGTTCTCGTGAAACAAAATGGACATCTCTCGCCGGCGCGCCGTCGTACGACCCGCCAAAGAGAGTCGCGAGAGACAGGGGAAGATAAAGAGACGAGTCCGGCGTGAAAAAAAAGGGAAAAGAAAGAAGCAGCAGCGGCCGCGCGGTCGCGTGGTAGTGCTTTGGTATTCAGGAATGTGCCCTGGGAGCTTCTGGTTTTACTCCCGTCGCGTCCACCGACATATCTCCGTACGGATGACACTTATTTTCTGTCGTTTTCGGAGTCGTCCTCTTATTTATTATTCTCTTTATTTTTCTCTCCCCTTCTCTTGCCCCCCCC